TTTTTTAAATTTTTTATGTTCTTGTAAGTATTAGGAAAAATTGAGAATTTTCTACTTCTTAATTTTTGCAGAATTTGGCTCACGGCTACATGTGTGTACTTTAGTACAGGGACTAACCTTGTGATAGAACAAGATAGTTGAACTGAATTTCTTTGTCAAGAGCTAAAGTACAAAAGTAATAATAAATAAATAAATAAATAATTACATACTTGTTTGTGTTGTTTGTATTTCTTTGTTTTCAGTTTTAATTTGAGTCTCAACTTCATCATTTGAATAAAATAATGATGATTAAAACAGTAGTTTCACAAACAACAACATACCATTAATATCATATTCTTTATCATTATTGATTGTATACTGTCCAGTAGGTAATTCATGTAAACCTACAGTGAATGACAATGTACAGTACATGAATATAATTAATATATACCAATCAATAATCCTTACCTTCCAGTATATCATCTCTATCCATTCTTTTCAATGATTCTTTCAGTTCAGTTATTGTTCTATCCTTCTCATGGCACCAGGTCTCAAGTACATGAGTTAATCTTGAATCAACTGGTGTCATCTCTTTGATTTCAGTTAACACTGATTCCTTCACTTCAAGACACTGTCCAATATGATACCAGTCATCTTCAACTGGTTCCAGTATCACTGATAATTGTGATATGTTACCTATATTAAAATGTTAACAATTAAACAGTGCATGCATGTCCATATTAGCTTACCTTTTCTGATATAAGTAGATGTGGTTTTCTGTTCTACTGGTGCTTGTTCTAATGATTAAATTATAAGAAGAGGTGCATATAATAAATGATTAATAATTAAACTATGTGCATCTTTGAAATTATCAAAATACTATACCAATGAGAATTACACTACATAATGTACACAACACATATACACACATACCTGACTGAGTGATAGTGTATTCACACTGAACTGATACTTTCTTGTGATCTTTGACTTGCTGTAGTTTTAATTCTCGTTGAAGTTCATCAATCTTTATTTGTACTTCCTCTTTCTCTCTTAGAGCAACTTCTTTCTGTTTCATAAAATTGGAGGATGTTTGTATCTCTCCTTTTAGTTTCTTTTCAAGCTCCTCCAGTCGTTTGTAAGTAAGTTCATTGTCTACAGTATAATAATGTCTCAATCAACAACAATTAATAACAATATTGTAACCTGATCTTAATTCTTCATATTGTTCTGTTTTGTGTTTCAAGTCTCCAGTAACTTCCTCATGCTGTTGAGTAAGCGTTGCTATTGTTTCTTCATTTTGAATGAGGTCCTCCTTTAGTTGAAGTAGTTCTTCTTCATATTCCCTTTTAGCTTGTTTATGTAATTGTTTCTCTTTTTCATAAAGTTCCTTTTCTTCCTCCAGTTGTATTTGAATTCTTTTAACTTTCTCTTGTAGCAACATAGCTTGATCCTCATCCTTTTCGTCTTCCTCCTCCTCCTCCTCCTGGTAAGAATGGCTCACTGATTCTGTTGTTCCTATACTCAATAGTTACATTATGTATCATATTAATAATATTGATGTACCTGCTGGTACTTCAGCTGTTAGTGTGGTATCTTTACTTTGTACAGTAAGGCCCACATAAGTATCAGTAAATGATCCTTGTTTCCTAACTCTCCACATACTAACATCACCTCTCATGACATTTACTCTGACACAATGTGATGATAATACACCTGATGATAGTCTCTGTACATCTTTAAGTAGTGAATAGCTAGTATCTTTATTAACAACAATCGTAATAGAATCAAGTAGTAACGATGCTTTTGAAAGCTCTCCTTCCAAAAAATGACAAATTTTCATTTTTAATTTCTCAACAGCTCCTTTACATTCCTTAATAACTGACTTAGCCTCCTCTATATTGAACTCATTAACAAGATACTCCAGCATACTAATATCATCAAGTGAACTATTCTCACGCACTAATTGTAAAATGTTATGAACATCTTTACGCTGAGCTAACTGGGGCTTCAATCCTTTGTTGTATGCACCCAATACACGTTTGATATTATCAATAGATGGAGACTGAGGGTTCCTCATCATGACCGATCTAACATTGATGAATGTTTCCTCAAACTTCACTCGCATCAAA